AACTGACTAGTAGTACTCAGTGTACTAAAAACTTTGTGAACCAGCATTACATCTTGTCTCCTATAGTTTTAACTGACTAGTAGTACTCAGTGTACTAAAAACTTTGTGAACCAGCATTACATCTTGTCTCCTATAGTTTTAACTGACTAGCAGTACTCAGTGTACTAAAAACTTTGTGAACCAGCATTACATCTTGTCTCCTATAGTTTTAACTGACTAGTGGTACTCAGTGTACCAAAAACTTTGTGAACCAGCATTACATCTTGTCTCCCATAGTTTTAACTGACTAGCAGTACTCAGTGTACCAAAAACTTTGTGAACCAGCATTACATCTTGTCTCCTATAGTTTTAACTGACTAGCAGTACTCAGTGTACTAAAAACTTTGTGAACCAGCATTACATCTTGTCTCCCATAGTTTTAACTGACTAGCAGTACTCAGTGTACTAAACTTGTTGAACTAGCATTATATCTTCTCTCCTGTAATTTTAACTAACAAAGCATTTAATCTGGATGTTGCTTCCACTCACCTAAAGCAAAGGTATGGAGAATATCCTGCAGTTGACTCCTTAACAGTGGAATCCTTTTAAAACTACAGGTAATGTGATTACATTATGCTGTCATGATAGTTTTAAAGCTATGGGTTGTGCAGTGAAATTAAACTGTGTGTTTTAAAACTATGGGTTGTGTGATGACAACAAACTTTGTGTGTTTTAAACTATAGGTTGTGTGATGACATTAAACTTTGTGTGTTTTAAACTATAGGTTGTGTAATGACATTAAACTTTGTGTGTTTTAAACTATAGGTTGTGTGATGACATTAAACTTTGTGTGTTTTAAACTATAGGTTGTGTGATGACATTAAACTTTGTGTGTTTTAAAATATAGGTTGTGTGATGACATTAAACTTTGTGTGTTTTAACACTATGGGATGTTTGATGATATCAAATTTCTCGTGTGTTTTGTGATGACAATGCACTGCCATAAGTGTTTTAGAATATGAAATATTAAACAAGATAGTAAACTAGTTAATTTCTGAACACTATCTTAAACAGTAACATAATACTGTAGAATGACCCACAGAGAATGTTAAAAACAAAGGTAAAACAGTTAAATTCTAAGCACTCACTGAAACAGTTACATAAGATAGTAGAGTCACCTACACAGAATGTTGAACATGGTAAAGCACTTAATTTCTAAACATGAACACAAACATTTAACTTTTAATTACCCTAATGATGTGATAGAAAAAGCATGTGGTTTAATAGTTTTACATGGATGAAATCAAGTAACTGTTATTACTACAAATTTGTAATTATTTTCAATATTTTTAAAGCTCAAAAAGTACTCTATTTATGCATTAATCAAGAATGTTGCAGCTTCATCTACCACTTATCATAATGATTGTGACTACATGAAAAACATCATGATGACCAAATGTGAAGATGGATTCTTAAATATTCAGTGAGCTTCTGAACAGAGTTAAAGTTCAAGTTAAGAAAATATTTAATTATAGGAAGAACACAAACGAGGGTTTATTTTAAATTTTATGGAAAGTATATATATATATACATACAATTACAGATTTAGATGATTCCCACATTTTGAATTAATTTTATAATGTTTAACAAATTCATTACTTTTAAGTCTTTCTCAAAAAACATAAAACAAGCTAAAAATCAAACGAAAACAAAAGACAATTTCAGAAAGTGTCACTAATACAAGAACTGAGAGATTACATAAGATTAAAAAAAGATAGTTAAAATGTTGAGATGCTAGAACTTCTACTTACATATTGGCTGATCAAAAATTGGAGGAGCAGTACTACTAGTTCTCCATTTGAAATTCTGTGTTGAAATAGAATCCTTAAATATTCTATGCAAGTAATCCTCTGGGCTTTCATTTTGGGCAGCCTCAGAAGGAGGTTTTTCACAATACACCCTGTTTCAAAACATTTATTTATGAGTAACACCTATAAGAAAAAGATTACATCCATACATAACACACTTAGAATTTAAGCATTTCAAGGATATACGATCTATCACTAGCTATGTTGGAGCCTTATCAATCTCTTTATCATCTCCACCTGTATATTTATAGATACTAGACATCACTTATACCCATATACTAACGTATACTACACATCATCTCCACCCCCATATATGCCATATGTCTCACGCGCTATTTAAAGAGCCTCGCACCTGGTTTATTGTGAATAAAGCATTGCTACAGTAATGTAAAAAACCCTTCCATGGATGATAAGGAGTTAAGCATCTCAAGGATATATATGATCTGTCACTAGCTATGCCAGAATCTGATTTAACCATCTGCATGTTCAGTTGTAAATATTAAATCAGCAAAATAACGTGCTCAGTTCTCTGGCTTACATTAATAAAAAAAACGGAACATTAAAATACTTTTGTGTTTTTTTACTGCATTACTTTTTTTATTTATACACATAATTATTCTGAATAAAGCATTGCTACAGTAATGTAAAAAACCCTTCCATGGATGATAAGGAGTTAAGCATCTCAAGGATATATATGATCTGTCACTAGCTATGCCAGAATCTGATTTAACCATCTGCATGTTCAGTTGTAAATATTAAATCAGCAAAATAACGTGCTCAGTTCTCTAGCTTACATTAATAAAAAAAACAGAACATTAAAACACTTTTGTGTTTTTTTACTGCATTACTTTTTTTATTTATACACAGAATTATTCTTCCTAACCAACATTTATAGAATATTTAACTTTTTACAGAATCCACTTTTGATGAGAAAAAACAACAGGCATATCTATCTGTATAGTTTATTTAATTACATACATTTATGTTACTCATTCTAAACTTACCAGTCAGGGTGAACCCGCCAATTTTTTCCATGAAAAATATGACCATCTAATGTAAAAAAGAACAATAAATTAAAAAGTAAAAAAAAAAGAATAAAATGTTAAAAATGTAACTTGGAAAATTATTATGTATATTTTCTAAAGAAATAAACATACATGTTGGAACTTAAAAGGCTGAAGAAAAACTTACAGTCATGTGAGAGTCCCTTCAATTCAACATGGCCATATAATTGATGATTCCCATATGGTTGTGGCAGAACAATAGCCAGTCTAGTTGAACAGCAATTACATAATAACATTAGAACAATAACCAGTCTAGTTGAACAACAATTACATGTTCTAATGCTATTAATAGCCAGTCTAGTCGAACAGCAATTACATAATAGCATTAGAACAATAGCCAGTCTAGTTGAACAGCAATTACATAATAGCATTAAAACAATAACCAGTCTAGTTGAACAGCAATTACATAATAGCATTAGAACAATAACCAGTCTAGTTGAACAGGGATTACTTCATATTAGCTGATTTAAATATTGATTTTGAAATTTTAAACTGAAATGATGGATGATGATAACAGATAATCTAGTTGAATGGGAAATACACATTAGCTAACTGATTTTACACAATTAATTAAATATGCGAAAGATTTCTATTAAAGCACAAATACATCTTATTTGTATTATGTATATCTAAGATTCAAAAACCAGTATTAAAATATGAGACTCGCCATGATAACAATCAATTGACAATATATTCAAATGAGTAAAAGCCTTCCAAAAATGAGAAATAAAAATTTTGCAAATTAGCAATTTACCAGAATGAAAAGTTTTAAACAATGATATTTAGATAAACATGACAATTTCTTAAAAAATACTCATGATAATGTATTAGTAAAAAGGCCTGAAATAATAATGACTGATTGTGAATTTTTGAAAATATATTAACTTACGAGAAAGGAGTTTTGTCTATTGGTGCGTAATAGTACTTGTTTGTTCTAGTGACGACTCTCCTCTAGAATTAAAGAAATTACTTATTTTGAGACAACAAAGTGAAATCCTTACATTGTACAAATTGTGATACACATAATTTTATATAGAATGAATAAATCGAATTTGAGTTATTACTTTAAGGACAGAATTTCAAGTCTCTTCCAATGTTTTCAGAATAGAATGTTGTATTTTAAATAAATAACTATTAAAATACTCCAGTTTATTTGCAAAAATTATAAAATCCATGAAGTGTAAAATATCATTCCAAGTGTACCAAAGATTTTAGAAAGTGATATAAAAGAGATAAAGACATGTCCTTTTCTTCAATGTCGTAACAACACACAACAAAAATATAAAAAAAAATATGTAATAACTGAGTTTAGAAGCAATATTTAATTTTATTGTGTGCACACTATCTAAAGATGGACACTTATCAATTGTCACATAAAATATAAAATTACCATATTATCTTGATGAACCTTCACAGAAAGTGTTTCCCACCCAAGCCTTCTATCAATCATATTTCTTCGAATCTAAGGATTAAAAAAAATTTATAGAAAGCATAATGATTTATTCTCTGATATAAATTAAATGATTGAAAAGTTTATTTGGTAAATATCATTCATAATAAATTTAATCACATTTCAGAAAAACATTATAAAAAAAAGCTACACAATTATTTTACACAAAAAATAAATTCATCTTATGAAATTATGCATTAAAAAGACATAAATTTATTTCAATTCCTTGTTCTGCAAACCACAAGACTAGATCTATGATATGCTACATCAACTCTTACAAACATATAATAAATGTATTTTGACTAGGATGCCAAAAAACTTACTTATTCAACCAAAAAATACTTACAGTGAGCAGGATTTCATCAAGTTCCTATGTATAAATAAAATAAAATACATGTATATTAAATTGCAATTAGTACTATAAAATAATAGAATATGTATGTATATATATTAAAATATCAATTTATAAAGAATTAATATTAATGAACAGTATCCCTCAACAATAAATGCATAAAAATCACTACATATGTTTAATTGTGTTTGAGTTTACTTGAAGCAAAATATATACAAAAAAAAGAAGTCTAGTAAATATGATTTAAAAAATTTTTGTATAGGCTAAAAATTTAAATGCATTTCATTTTGCAACTTGATAAATAAAATTATTTTTTTCTTTCAAAACTGAAAATATCTGCTAATTTTGAGTTAGCTTTTTAAGCTTTGAATAAAAAAGCTTCATATGGATAAAAAATGTGGCATCCATTCATTAAAAAATTAAGTAAGCATATTTGATGTTAGCTATTATATGTACTCACAAATGTGTTCAACATTCATCCTTGCCTTAAGACAGATAGACAAAACAAAACTAAAACTAAAAACAGGTGAAAAGGATAAAGGAAAGTGTGCTTCAAACGTTTTTGTTTTACTTTCTTTATTAGAAATATCAAAATAGTATATTTTGAAATATTCTTTCACTGGACATGATTACTTACTCGTGCAAGAAGCTGATTGTTTGGTAATTCAACCTCTGTTATGTCCACACTGCTGTAGCCAGGTTTTAACAAATCCTGGAACTGAAACAAAAATGTAATCATTATAGTGTTAACCACTTAATAAGGAATTATGGTTGAAACAAGAAAATGTGAAATTACAGCAGTATAGTAGAGAAATTAGAATATGAAATTAGTAGAGACGTTAGAAGACAAAATTAAAGCAATCAAGTAAACATTAGAAGGTGAAATAGGGGTAGTCTAATGAAGAAATTAAAAACAAAATTAAGGCAGTCTAGTATAGACAACAGAAGGTGAAATTAAGGTAGGATAGTCAAGAAATTACAAGGCAAAATTAAAGTAATCTAGTTGATACATTAGAAAACGAAATTAAGGCAGTCTAGTTGAGACATAAGAATGTCAAATTAAGATTAGGCTAGTAGAGAAATTAAAAGACAGCTAGGATTAAGGCAGGCAGTACAGACAAGAGAATGTCAAATTAAGATTAGGCTAGTAGAGAAATTAAAAGACAGCTAGGATTAAGGCAGGCAGTAGAGACAAGAGAATGTCAAATTAAGATTAGGCTAGTAGAGAAATTAAAAGACAGCTAGGATTAAGGCAGGCAGTACAGACAAGAGAATGTCAAATTAAGAAAGTCTAACAGAAACATTAGAAGGTGAAATTGAGGTTGGATAATAGAGAAATTATAAAAATAAATTACAGCAGTTTAGTAGAGATTATAGAAGATGAATTGTTTAACAATACCTCATTTACTTGTCACCCATGAAGAAAACATTTGTTCAACTTGATTAAAATACAGTGAACATATCTGGATAATATATTATCAAATTATTTAGTTGTACATATATTATTTTATGTAATTTTCCCCCCATATCAATGAATAGTCCATGTAAAAGAAGCAAAAACAACTCATGTTTTTCTTATGCAGATATACATGCAGAGTTACAAACAGTAGCTTAAATGTCTGCTATTATATCTCAATACCAGTTATTCTAACAACACAATACAGGAGTCTCAATTTCACTGAAAACATTTTGCATTGTCAATTATTAACACTTAATGTACCGCTATTTTAAATGCACCTCTATCCTGTTTGTTAAGCAACTACCTGGCTGTGCATTTGTAACTTTTTCTTTAATTTAAAAATGTATTAAAATATTTATCTGGAAGATGAAACTAAGCCAATCTATAACAGATATTATAAAACAATATTATACCAGTCTAGTAAAAACAATAGAAGATTAAATTAAGGCAGTATAGTAAAAACATTAGGATATTAAATTAAGACAGTATAGTAAAAACATTAGAAGATTAAATTAAGGCAGTATAGTAAAAACATTAGAAGATTAAATTAAGGCAGTATAGTTAGAAACATTAGAAGATTAAATTAAGGCAGTATAGTTAGAAACATTAGAAGATTAAATTAAGGCAGTATAGTTAGAAACATTAGAAGATTAAATTAAGGCAGTATAGTTAGAAACATTAGGAGACAACATAGTACATACAGTAGAATACATAATTATAGTAGACAAGTGGAGACTTAAGAAGACGAAATCAAGATTATTGTAGGCTAGTGCAGTATACCACTACAAGATGGCATTATAGTAGAATTAATGCAGAGGCTTTGTATTACAATATGAAGTAGTAATACAAGTGAGTACACAATGTTAAAATAATTATTCAATAACAAATTAGGTATGCTGTAGCAAGCATGAAATTCTGGAAGTAAGAAATATAATTCTTTGAAGAAAATATAAATGTAATTAATTGATAAGGTACAGACCTAGGTCAATGATAAAAGTATAGTCGAAAGTGGAAAAGAATCAGAAATAGGGCTTTCTTGAAATTAGAATTCACTGAGTTGTATAATTTAGTGGAAATCAGTAACCATAGACTACAACTAGGTACATTTTTTAACAGTATTCAGTGTGCAAAAAATTAAAATAGCAAGTGGACATGGATTAATAAAATGAACTACATAATACATATCAAACAAATGAGAGTTCACTACTAAAAAAAAATTTCCATGAACAGATGAAGATTACACTCATTGGGTATACTCAATTTGCCTGTCCAGAATATGTCCTGCATATTCTTTTACATTACATTTCCAATATGGCAGGAAATGCATTAGCCCTCCTGTTTTTTGTTGAAAGATGAATATGATGAGGATATTGAACAAGGTGATGATGAATCAGTCCAATACTCATTTCCATGGATAACATTTTTTTGAAAATGACTAGAATAGCTATAATGTGATTAATGCTGTTGCTGCCAGTATTTTGTTTGTGAAACATATTCTGTATTTTGGCAAAATATTTGAATCACATGCTGCATTGGTACACTTCCTCTGCCACCTTGATGGTGTCACAGTCAGAAGAAGTCCAGAACACTGTTCCAAGCCACTTTATTGCTGTGCAAAAATTTCTGCATCTTCAAGAAGATGAATTAAGTGTACCAATTAAATGCACCAAGGACAGAGGTCAAGAAGCATCTTATATTAATGAAAAATAAGATATTTCTCTTATATTTATAGACGATACTTAAGAAACATAATGTTAATATTAATACAAAGAACCAATAATAATGCTCACTTACCAGTGGGCGGAGGTCAGGATGGAAAAGGACGTATCCATTGTTGGTGATAATAAATGCATATGCATTAACACCCAACTACAAAAATGAATTATAACCAATAAATAATTACAGTACTTGTATAAATAAATAAGCAATTTCATTAATTAACCTAATAAAGAACAGTAATTTCATAAAATTATTATTTTACTGAATTTTAGCTTTACAATTATGAATACTACAGTAAACAAAAGAAAGATATCAGCACAAATGTTTCTGTTAATTTTCAGCAATACAATTTTATTAATAAGGGACCATTCACATTTCTGTCATTAGTTTCAACAGAGTTCAGGAATATCTTGTTTATAAGTTTCTAAGCACACAGTTAGTTCTATTAACATGGTGACTAGGTATATACTTAAACTTGTATACATCAAATTCTTTCTAGTTTGTAATTTTCAACTAATAATACACAAATTTAAGATGTAATGACATGCTGACATTTTTTTTACAGTTATGTGAAGATGAACTCAAACATGTATACAAAACATAATGTCTTCCAGTGATACTCATACAGACACATGTACAAATACCTGTTCTCCACAATCATACACAAAAACAAATAAATGTTTCATGATCTTATTGCTAAATAGCCATATAATCATGTTTCCCAGCCAACCACAGTTGATTGTATACATATAGAAAACATCAACAATAATACTACACAGAATTCTTTATTCACCTTGAAAGCAGGAGTTAACCTCTGTATCTTTTGTACCTTAATGTCAGTTCCTGCTACACCAAGCAATTTGGCATCTTGCACCTAAAATTATAAAATATATGCTCATAAGAATCATCTCAAATATACCAGTTCTATAGCCAAATTAGTCGTTTTATTTTTTTATTCTTGTCCAAATCACTACAATATTCAAAAGTAATAAAATATATATACGTATAACACAACTTACAGTAGAATTCCGAGGATGAAACACAGGCATTGCCACTGTTGTCATCAACTGTACTGACTACAAGATTACAAACAAGAACAACAATAAGTTATTGGCATTCTAAAATTCCCACATTAGAATAATAACATTCTAATCAGAAATTTGCATTATTTTGCACCATGATGTTAAATGAATTAAATTGAGAAAAATATTAGAAAGTAATAACCAAATAAACAAAATATAATTTATTACACATAATTTTTATTACAATGGCAGAAGAATTCAGATGAAACAATCTAAATAATGCAATTATTAATACAGTGCATAACAATAATAATAACATGATGAACCAGCAATTTTAATGGCAGGAACAACCTTACTTATTCCAGAATTAAAAAACAAAGATAAAATACACAATAAAAATAAACAATAATACTATTAATAATTTGGGTTGTATCCTAGAACAGTTCAGTACAAACTGAACATTTTAATGTCTGTTACTATGTCAGATGTCTTCTTTTTTTCTTATTAATTTTTATTTATCATCTTTTTTGTTTTAGTATTCTTGATCAAATTGTTACAATACTCAAAAAAATAATAATAATAAAATACAACTTACAGTGGAATTTCAAAGATAGAATAATAATAAGAACTATTGTTATTATTATATAAGTGGTACCAGTAGTCCTATCTATTGGCCAATTTATAAATAC